TAAACATGTCGGCGAATTAATTGTCGGTGAAACGAGGTGTCTGTGAAGTGATTGTCGGTGAAATAATACGTATCCAGGCCTATTGTATTAAATACAGAACTATAGCAAAGGAGAAAAATAAAAAAGAAAGAGAACCAGAAGACCTTACTCTAGAAGAAGCCTTAAAAGCAAGAATGGAAGTAGCCATAAAAAACATAAAAAAAGAACTCAAAAAACTTAATATTAATAAGGTAGAAGATTTAAGCAAAAAAAGTAAAAAATCAAAATCAAGATTGAAAAAGAATAAAAAGAATTTTTAAAAAGCTGTGCCCCATGGTAGTGATTTAAGCCACATGATTTTAGTCGGCTGAGCACTGGCTAGAGAAAAAGCTAGTCATGCAACCAAAATTCAGCAAACTGATCAAAATTCCAGGTTGGAATAATCAAAATTGACTATGTACTAAGACAAATTGTCCAAATGTTATTTTTAGTATAATATAGTTATTGCTTAATGCCGGCCTAGTTCTAATGCATTCGACTTTAAATTTTTGGTTATATAGTACTGGACAATAAGAAATATCTAAAAGCGTCAAATTTTGAGATTTATACTCAAATCTGATTGGCTATTTTTCGTGGAACAAGATTTTGATTAGTTAAAAATTTATAAAAGCAATTTTTTATATATTAAACGCCAAATTTTTGATTACATATATACTTTAGGCTCTAATACCTTTTTAAACTTATAATAAAATTAAAAGCAACAAATCTGTAAGACAGATTTTTTTTTAAAGTCATTTGTTCGTAAGCTATAAGCATTTTTATATTTATATATAAAAAGTGGATGTTTCTTGCTGTCCAGTACTGTATAAAAAATACTTATTATGTGATTGGTGAACCCTTAGCCGTAGCCTCTGAAAGTTAGCAAATTTCAGTAATTATAGGCTATAATTACCAAAATTTGCCGATGATCACAAAATTCATCACATGTCCTACTAATTTTCATCTGGCTTAGCCATGGCTGCTTCAGCCGGCTTAAAACACTAATAGAGATTTGGATTTTGTGAAAATTTATTTCTGTATCTTGAAAATACTACTATGTAAAATCGGTACAAAAATAGAGGGCCAAAATTTCATTTAATTAAAAGTACAATGGTTGATCAAGTTTCAGCCACAGGATTACCTCTTTCAGATGAGTTAATCAAATTAAAGAGTCATGAATTTGGAAGGAGGATTCAAATAGGTGGTTACTAATTATAAAAAAAAAAGAAATTCATTACGCAGATATAAGCTTCACGGTGAAGCTTCAAGTGCACCTTTAGAATCCCTATCAGATGAGAGAATAAAGCTTCAATGACTTCTTTTCTAATATGAATTAGAAGACATATACAATGCTGATGAAACCGGATTGTTTTATCGAATGTTGCCAAATCAAACATTAGCAAAAAAAGCCGTTGCTGGGTCAAAAAAAGTAAGAATCCTCTTTTTTTAATATATAGTAAAACCTCCCTAATGTATAGCTCAACCCAAACCTATAAGAGCATTCTAAAATTTTTCCGTGGCTCTGTATATAGTATACTGATACGCATTTTCACAAACGCGAGTCTACCGCCATGAAAAAATTACCACTAGAGACGTATCACACCATATTCAACAAACTCTGCCACAAAAATTTATTATTGTCAAAAAAACCAACACCAAAAAAAAGAACAACTTTAAAATTGACCTCAAGATCAAGATCCAGATATCTTCAGCAGGCCACTCAAAATTACAAAACAATATATCTCGCTCAACTTCTACAACCCGTGGCAGGTCCAGATCACGATGGACCATTTAAACTATGTTCACAAATTTATTCCTACTCCTACATCTTTACAACGGAAAAAACTGACTAATACGGACTTACTTGCTATAAAGGAATCACCAACATATTTAAATCGCTGCTACAACTTATTCTTTCAGTCTGGAGGGGTGGTGATACAAATTCTGTTAGAATTCCTAATCCAACTTTTCAACCACATCGAGGTGAAATTGTACTTGAGCTGTAGAAATTAGAAAGTCAATTATAAGCATTAAATTCCCTAATTTAGAAAGGGTTAGTAAAAAACAAATTAGCTAAGATCCTTAACCATTTATTGGCTATTTTGCTAATTTTTAATACAAAGAAAAATTAAACTGTCAAACCATCTATACACTTTGTGAATTCTTGTGAAATAGAAAATCATCGTCCCTGCTCTTAGATATGTCTACCGTACATGAAGCCCGTATATGCTATTCTGCTTTAATCTTTCACTTTGTGAAAAAATGCTTAAAGCCAACAAAAATATTGTTATAGCTGACAAAAATTAATAATTTATGATGAATATATTAGGCTATCTTTAAGTCGAATTAATAGAAAAAGAATGTATTTTGTTAATATAAAAAAAGATATCTGATTTGCCGATGGCAAATAAATATTTAAATTATTTTATACCTAGAGAAGATGAATTAAAACTTCCTTATTTTCATGCATTACCTAAAATACATAGAAATCCATTAAAATGGAGACATATAGTTGGAATGCACTCAGCTCCAATAAGAAGACTTTCGAAAGTTTTAGTGGGCATGTTAAAGCGACGGTTTACGCTATATTATTGGACTGATTTCTAGTGATTTATTTAAATCTTCAAGTGATTCTTCATATGTGTCCATATAACTATAAGTACACTATATTTTAGCATCATTTTTTATTTCGAACAATTTGTTTAAAATCTGCAAGTGATTCCTCATAATGGCCCATCCATAGATAAATTATTGCGCGAGTATTTATTGCGGTTTACAAAATTATGTAAAATTTGCGGTCAAAAAAAAAAAAAAAAAAGAAAAGAATTCGATGATTTCTTATTTTTGATTTCCGATTTCTTAAATTTTTTTTGCAGAAATAGAAGTTGTAGATTCATAATTTTGTAAATACTGTATTTGATTATGTATCTTTTGATGAGCAAGAAGAAAATTTAAAGTTGCATCAAATTCCAATCTTATAAGAATTATTACATGCTTCTAGAAAATTAATTTGTTTATTACTGAAAGAATCATGAAATTTCAAAGTAAAAGCATAGAGAACTTTAGTATAATATTTTTTGTTGGAAATATATTTTTCAGTTACAATAAGTTTTAGAAGTTGTACAAAAAGACACTTGGTTCGGTTTCTAATGTTTCTCGAACTCTGCAAACGATTCTTCATATTTTCCCATTTATCATTCCTATAAGTGGCTATTTTATCTTCGATGATGCACTTTCAATCCCTTTAGTGAACAGGCTCGAGATATGTCGGTTGCAGCAGTAGTGTTACGAATAATACTTTAAAACTGGCCTCCACGTTTAACCTAAACAGTTCTCTGAATTGTCCATAAACACACATGTCATATTTCCGAAAAGTTCTTCAACTTTATCTTTTTTTTTTTTTTTGTTGATTGGCCATAATTTATATTATGGCAGTGAATAGAATCAAACATAGATAATTTACAGCAAAATCAGATCCGATCGTCTTACTCTTTATTTTGATCAACTTCGTCTTCGTCCTCAGTTTGTTTTACAACAACGCACTGTAAGTATGATACCTTTTGAGCATACACAATATTGCAAACATCGTAAATAATGATTAATAATGAATTGAATGGTCATATTGGTCTTCTGAATCGAACAGTTAACTTGGTCCTATAACTGACAAAGAATATTAATATTAGCAATCACAAGCTTACGGTTTAAAAACTTATAGTGACTTGGTGTACCGCTCTTTTCTCTCACATTTAAATTCCCAACTTGTTTATATTACGCAATATCCTAAGATCCCGACTAGTAGACATCTTAGGCGAAATATTAGTGTTAAGTACGATTGTTTCAAAAATATCAAAATAAAAACATTGACCAATTAATGCATTTCGCGAGATCTTAATATGGTGACAGAGAGATTAGATTAGATTATCATGATATTTCGTTAAATCAATTTTGATCTCGAGGAAAATCTCGTCAATATATTTTTTATTACATAATCTTTCGGTTAAGTACGAAAAGCGCCAGTGGATAGGCTAGAATCTTTAATCTTATCGAAAGCTAATAATGGTAAGTCAGTACTATATGGCCGGCTTTGAGCGAAGAAGTCAGTCGCACAAAATTGTATACAAAAAGACGCCGGCGGACAGACTGGAATCTCTTGTTCTGTCGGAAGCCATTAGTGGCGAGTTATTTGGGGATGGCCGACCTTGAGTGAATACGTTAGTCGCACAAAGTTATTATAGGGTGTTGATTTCAGCGAAATCTCTAATCCCGTTAGAAGCCTAAGTCAGAGACATCTCATTTTAAATGCTGATTGATAAGCTGTTTCATTAAGGCACTTTATTATTTATTGTCGCAGATCATAATGAAATCGGATTAAAATGAAACTGGGGACCTTTCTTGCTCATCTTTAAAGCTTAT